TCATAAAAATGCGCTAATTTTTCGGAGAATGTGAATTAATCAATAAAATCTTTTAACACGTTGATTAATAAATTGTTATGTTAATTTACATTTTGAAGTTTTTCAACCAGCTTCAGAACAANTTTTTAACCCCCCCCCCCCCCCCAAAAAAAAAAAAAAAAAAAAAAGTGCAATATATATTAATAAACATATACATTGCCTATACATTTTCAAAAACTTTGTGTTGATGATTAACATAGGCCTTTGTGCTATTTCAGATTTCTTATCTACGAAACCTAACAGTAGCAACATTTTACAGAACAAACAGCTCGAGTTGTTAATTAATGAAAACAAAATTGTGCAGCAAAAAGTCACTGATCTTTTGGAAGAGAACAAGCAACTGAAGGTAAGCATTTATAAATATATTCAGTCGAAAAGCTTTCAAACTTGTGGTGTGAGAGCAGGGTGGTTAGAACACCATGCAAATCAAACAATTACCAGGTACATTTATTGTAATACTATCCTGACTGATTCCCACCTATGACTGTAAAACGATGATACTGAGTGTCGTCCATGGCTTGAGATGTAAATAGTCTTATATAATACAGTTGTTTTGTTTTATTTAAATAATGTATGTCAATTAATTATTTCAGATTTTTATTATGTTTGTTAAATTGTATGTACAGCGTGGTGAGCCCAGCCCTAGGCTGGGGTACCACGCTATATAAAACCACGTATAATAAATAATAATAATAATAGGTTTACCACCAAGGGCCGTTTTGCGTGGTCATGGCGTTTCCCGAAAAACCTCAGCGTTAATAGTGTCTTCACACTTGCCAAACTACACTTCTGTGATGGCTTCCAGCCATGCCTTGACACCCAAGTTTGTCTTGACATACAATTACAAATATATTTCGACACCCAAATATAAATAAGCATTGAAAATGTTGAAGCATTCTCATTCATTTTCAAGATTCAATTGCAGCATCGTCACCCGAACATTTGGACACGCAATTACATTAATAGTAGAGATTAAATAGACATGTTTTGAGTGCAGTTTTTAGCCATACAGAGGCTGGAAGTACAGATGAGACCCGAGCACTGCCCATATTATGATTATAATCGATCGGCACTGGAACCCCCACCTGCCACCATTGTGGCATTGTTCAAAAGCACCAAATACGATTAGCCACTGTCTCATGCTGGAGCTGGCAGGCAACGGGGGGGAGGCGAGGCCAACGTTATGGATATGATTTATGCAAAAGCCTAGCCCTAGCTAATGAGGCAAGCCGCTATCTTCGTAACTTTAACAGGGGCAATGAAAAGTGACTAGCTTGCATCATCATTCTGAAGGTTTATTTGACGAAATTTATGTTTTCGCCCGCACCTAATTATTTTTTGTATTTAATATGCCCCAACCCATTTTGATCTGCTTAAATTAGTTGATGTGACTAAGTGTTAGAAACCGAGTACAGAATCATAACGCAATATTGTTTTTTAAATTCAGGAGCTTGTTCGCACCAAAGACACCTTGTCAGAGAAACCTGACCACGAAGACCATGTTGCTAGGTTGACAAGGGATTTCCTTAGGGAGCTGTCCAACCTGGATACAGAGGATGACGACACTAGCAAGCTGGTTGATCAAAGTGTTTAGTATTTCCATTTGTGGCCATCTCTTATTATTTATTTTTAAATAAACATGATTTGTAGTAAATGATCAATTTGATTTTCATTCTATTCAATAAGTTAAATTTTGCATTATAAAACATAAAAAAAAAAAATTGAAACTAGATCTGTGATCAGAGGCCTGCGCCGCTGGACATATGTCCACATGGATATGAATTCTGAAATATTAGATTACAATTGCTAAATTTCACAAGGATTAAGGGCCTATCATACTTAAACTTTCAATTCTTTAACTTTAAGCTGTTTAGAATATCTAGAAAGTAATTCAGTGCAATTATCTGTGTATTATCTAACAACACATTCAACAACCAAATTCAAACTGAAACTGTTTATGATTTTGATTTATATAAAATGTTTTTTATTTTACAAAATCATTTGAATTTAATTGAATATACTATAACAAGCAGATGATCATTAGTAACTACGGCTATCTTATCTTGTCTATGCCATCAGTACACACTGGGGCGGGGGGCCAGTGAATACGTTTGTAAAAGACTGATCCCAAAATGAACTGTACATCTCATGGTGAAACAAATTATATCTTATATGTTAAACTAGGTTTAGATGTCCATGTCTAAGGTAGAGAAAATTTTGATTAAATCTCCAGCCATTGGGACATTTGTAACAACAGTTACATCAATAAGGTTGTTACAAGTAATTTGGTTTATTTTTTTAAATACTGGAAATGGAAATGACCAATTAAAATTAATGAGAGATATTTTTTTTCCTTTTACAAATTTTCCAAACATAATAATTTAAAAACGTTAATCTCAGATGTGACCTTAATTTTAAAAAAAAATAATAACTTTTAAGAATGAATTAGCAAAAAAAAAAAAAAAAATAAAGATAAAGAAAAGGAAGTTGCCTTGACTGATATACCAGATGATGTAGAAATAATTTAATACAAAATCAAAGCTTGTATAATGTGAAATCCAAAGGGGTGAGATCAGAATTATTTTCTCTTGAACTTGAAGACACCGACTGACTGCCTACACTTGTAATATTCAGACTATGTTACAATGTTACAGATTTTCACAACAGTTTTGAGAAAATAATGTAAAATACAAATGTGTCACTTGTTTGGTCACCTGCATCTAGTTGTTTTTTAAAAAAATAAAGGTTTAATTATTTCAAATGAGCCAAAAATGAACACATTGTTAAACGTTATATCAGGTACGTGAAGGCAACCATCTACACCCCATTTTTGCAGACTAAATCTAAACCCACATGAAAGAAACCTGGTGTTGTTAGATGTTACTAATGTTTTCAGAGATCATGATGGCCTGCTGTGGTGGTAGAACTTAGGTACATAACAATGATGTGCAACATGGGTCTGATGATTTCTATATACATCATAGCAATAACAACCAGGATTAAAAACATCAATTTATAATTTATCAGAAGGCTCAGCTGTAACATGGGAAGTACATGTGAATAATGTGATGTAGGATTTCAAAGTTCCACTATCTAGTTATGAAAATGTACAAATCATTGGGGGCAGCTGTTTGATTACACATGGCTCCAGCATTAGTCATCTGTACAAATGTCTGGTTTAACCTTTAACTTTAATGTTAAATTATTCTATAGAACTCACTATTACAGTTATAAACACCCCCCACCCCTCCAAAAAAACCACTTTCCCCATATCTTACTCGTAACTGTCTAAAGTGATAAATAGTAATTCTAAAAGTATCCCAAAAGGAAAATTAAGAAAGGAATAATTATAAACAAGGTATATACTCAAAGATTATGATGTAAGACACAACCTGAATTTTTAAACTTGAATTAACCAGAACCCAGAACATTTTTAAAGTTGAAATGAAGTATGAAGCTGACATTAAGAACTAAAATTGCAAAAAATGAGTTGTATGTAATTCTTTGAGGACAGTGAGAGCAAAAGCAGCTTGGGATTACATTCTCTGATATTTGGATTTTTTCATCTGACACAAAGATTGAAAAATACAAAATTAAATAATATGTAAATAAATAAGGCCGGTCGGCTCACTAGAACAATATCATGTATCAATGGTCATATCACAGTCAACCGAACCACAGTTTTAATGTACAACATCGAAAGCCTTCTCCCCCCTTCATCTCCACCGGCACTGACTGATGCCAGGCCTCGCACCGACATTCACCCAGTGTGGGAGCTCATATCACATATTTAATACACTACGTCAGACCATTTTATTTACTGGCACACTTGGTCAGTTTTTAATCATATTTAGCAGAACAGTTAGGATTTCCTTCCATTCCCAACACAATAGTTTGGCCCAATTAAATATAAAATCAAATTGGGACCAACTGAGATATTGCTCCAACCGATTTCCATAAATATATATAAAATAAACTTCTGGCCACACATTTAACAGTTGCAAACACTTCATTAAAGCAAATGTACTGGTCAGTAACAATGCAGGAATTGCTTCATGGTAGTTATTAGTGCTAACACAAGGTTATGTTAACATGCAAGGTAGTGCATTCAGAGTGGTAGTTATTTAACTAGGTACATGAAAATATCAAAAGCAGTAGTTGGTATACAATAGTTGGTATAATGCAATTTAACACTAAAGGTCACAGTTTCTACGAGGTTTTAACCATCTTCAAAAAACGTAATTTTTTTTACTTTATTCAAGTACATGCCTCCAAGTCCTAAACCCTATTCAAAACTAAGTCAATATATTTTAATTTTATTGTTATACAATCAAGGATCCCCCTATCATCTATAATTGCATTTTAAATGAAGCCTAAAGCAATGCTTCCTTAACTTTTAAATTCAGGGGATCTGTCATCACATTTCCCACTGCACATGTGACTTGTGGAAGTTTAGTTGATTAATTTTTGTTTTATTTTACCTTAAATATGTCATAAAATAATCTCTACTCCTTGACTCTGGAACTGTGTATTACCATTTAACGCCAGGTGCTATAAGTTTTTTGCTTTTTTTTAATATGAATTTCTAAAAAAAAAAAAAAATCAATAGCTATTTTTTAAATATATTTATAACTTAAATCTCAATAGGAATATAAAAGAAAACGCTTGATAAAAAAAATCACATCAAGGGTGGATGTTATGTTTTATGGACAAGCGAGTCTTGTTTTTGAAAGTTGATTCGAAACAAGACTTACTATAGGAAACATTTAACATATTTTCCTGGGTTTTTGGCTCTTGCCTTGCGGACTGGCTATGTAAGGCAGCGGTTCTCAACCTGTGGGTCGAGACCCCTTTGGGGGTCGCACGACCCTTTCCCAGGGGTCGCCTAAGACCATCAGAAAACACAAATACTCTACAGTTATGACGTGGCAATGAAAATAATTTTGTGGTGGGGGGGGGGGTCGCCACAACAATGGAAACTGTATTAAAGGGTCGCGGCATTAGGAAGGTTGAGAACCACTGATGTAAGGCTTTGTGGTGCCGCTCCACTGGTCTCAAGTGTTTGGTTTCAAAGCCCATACTGGCACAACCTGCCACTTTCATTTCAATCTGTTTGACAGTATCAGTACCAAGTATAAAGTTTCAATGTTTGCTTTAACTTTTTTAAAAGTAACGGCTTGCAGGGGGCTGGTTCCCATGAGACAGATAAAGTTTATTAAAACCTCTACATTTTATCAACATCAATTGTTAATAACAATAGTTACAATCCTCCTCCATGCTCAGGTGGAAGTGTGCTTATACAAATTTTTTGTAAAAGTTTTGTGCCTGGAGTGTATTTTAAACTTGACAACATTGCTGTGTTGTAATTTCTCTATTGAAATTCTAAGACGACCCCTTTAACAATTCTGATAACAAAAAAATTAATTAAAAAATTACCTGCAAAACACCAAACTCAAAAATTTAATTTTAAAAAAGTTACCAGTTTTAAAAAATTTAAAATAATAAAATCAATAAAATGAAACAAAAGATAAGTATTTTCTTATTTTTGGGGTTGGTGATAAAATCTCCTGACTTTTGTAACTGTAATTTGATGATTTCTAAGGCAATAATTCTCATATGAAACAGAAACTTGTAATTAACTATAGAGGATACAAAACACTTGTCTCCAAATATTTCAGCAGTCTTCAGTGAGTGTCCACTCTATCAGCTTCTGGGACATCCTGCTGTTGTAGCATGTGACCTGCATAATGACCCATGGGCTGAAGGGGATCCCCAAGGCCCTGTGGCGGGGAGGGCTGGAGGAAGTGGGGCTGCTGTTGCTGTGAGTGCAACACAGGAGGTGGCCCATAGTAAGGAGGGACGTTGAGGGCCCCCTGTGCGGCATTGAGGTGACTTTCGCTGAGGCTGCTGGTACTGCTGCTTCCACTCACAGACTGGCCCCTCTCCATATCAAGGATAGGATACGCCGGCCCCTGTTGAACTTGCCCAAGACGGGGGCTGTTGGGAGGACCGCTGACTGTTGCCACACTGTTGATCAGGTTCCCCACTGCAGTGTCTGCTGGGCTTTCAAAGTGTACACAATGGAAAACCTTAAAGAAAAAAATAAACATTTTTTTTTTTAAAATAAGATAATATTCTTTTATTGATCCAAACAAATGGAAATGCTTTATGATTGCATTTTACATTTTCAGCACATAAATAAAACAATTTGAACACGAGACATCCACATTAAATTAATTCACTTGTGAAAAAAAAACAGCCATTCAGTGAATTCTTGTAGCCATGTCAGGGACTTATTAGTTCTCATTATCAGTTCCTGCTTAAATTATATAAGTCCATATCTGATAAAACTTGTGAGATTTACCAACTTTTGTGGTGACATACTTAGAAATTTTAAAAGAACAACTAACTTTTTAGGTTTGATGCACTCACATACATTAAACATGAGGAACTATCTTGAACTAGCGAAGCTTACCTCATTTGCAGTATTGTGAGTACCCACTATTCGAATAAAAGTAACAGGCAATGGATCAAAAGCAAAAGTCTGCCATGATCTGGGCCAGGGAAAAAAAAAGATACTATTTGTTACTACTTATCATAGTTATAAGAATAAAATTAAACAAATGTTAAACGTCACAGACCTGTTTACCCTCAAACTCTTAAAATCGTACAATATCATCACAAAATCATTCAAAACACTATCTTAATAGTAAAAAATAAACATGTATACACCTTAAAATTGCACATTATACGCCAAAATCATAAGAGTAAACAGGTCTGACGTCATTATTCACTTCTTAGCTGATAAATGTTAAATGCATGTTAACAAAGACATTTTAAACTCCAGAGAACCAGGCACTTTCAACTCAAAACCACAATTAGAATTATTGTTGGGAAAATGACAATGTATATGATTGGTGGCCGCCCACTTGGGGGTTAGCAAGTTGCAGAAGAGATAATGTTTATTCAAGCATAAAATAAAAAGTAAAAAATCAAGCTCTGGCAAGCTGGCCTGGCTACATGAGCATTAAATCAACTCTTGTCTGCTGGGAAACTCACTTGCAGGCTTCGTGGTGCTTGTCTACAATCTGGGTCCATTTCAGCTGGTCGGTCGAAACCTCAATGTAGAAGCTGTAGCTTCTATCATCACAGTCCCACAAGAGTAACCTGAGATTGTAAATTGACTATTTCAATGTCAGCACAGTGTAGCCATGGATTTGATATTGTACCCGGCTGTGTAAATTAAAAAAAAAAAATCTTGATTCTTAACATAAAACATTTACAGTGGAACCTCGGATAATGAATGTCCGATAATGAACAAATCGGTTAACTAACAAACTTTTTGAACTATTTTCATCTCAGTTAATGAACCATTCTTCAAGTTAAGAACACACCCATAATTCTGTACACACAATTCCACTGGTTCAAGTTTTTGCTTTAATGCATTTGCAGAAAGCATAGTTTCTCTGAGCACTGTGTTTAAAAAGCACTACTTTTTGTTACTTTTGCACTTGTTTATGTTAGCCCTCATTATGGTGCCTAAAAGAAACATTTTATAAATGGGAATCATTGTAGTAATGAAATAAATTATATTTAAAGCTAATAATAGCCTATGTGTTTCCGCCATCACCAAGCAATATGATATGATGAAATTGACGATCTGTACAATTCTAAAGAACAAAGAGGCAGTAAAGGCAACCGCTGTGGCTAAACCAGAATGACTGTGTTAACAAAGCAAATGTCTAACGTGGAAGAGAAAGTAAAAAACTTAATTTGAATAAATGAAAAGCTGTTGGTTGGAGAGTGTGTAAGTGTTAGCAAGACAATAATTTTTGAAAAGGCTCGGCAGTTAGTCATTAGTTGGCCAAAATACCAAGTACAAATGCCGAAGGTCAAGACTTCTAAGTCAGTAGGGGTTTGTTGAATAAATTTCACCAAAGCAACGGAATTCAAAGTGTTTTAAAGACATGGAGAGGCTGCTAGTTTATGTCCAATGATACATCTTTCATTTCAGAATAACACTTAATAATGTAAACATACCATATTTCTATGACTGGAACAGATTAATTGAATTTTCATAGATTTAAATGGGAAAACTTATTTTGGGTAGAGGACATTTCCGTTTAAATCTTTGGCTCCTGGTCCTAAAACACACATGCCGCCGGGCTCCTGGGGAAAATCTCCAAAAGCCGACAGAAAGGCAAACACAGAATTCCATAATTCCAAAATTACATAATGTTTTTATCTGTTTCAATCTAAATTTGTCTGGTAGTAGTCCATTATTATTTTAAAATTTATCACAGGGATAAAATTGTTGTACAATCTGTGTAGAGTAGCGTAGTAGTAGATTACACTTTCACGCCCCTGATTTTCAACAAAACCCAAAGCACATAATCCATCACTAGATCTAGTTGAAGTCAATCGATCATCAGTATCATTGGCCATTTGCTTTATTATAATCCTCCAAAACAAGATTATAATCCTTCAAAACAAAATTATAATCCTTTGAATCATTTACATCAGAGGTCCTCAAACTTTTAAATCAGATGACCAGTTTACTATTGCTTAAAATCCTGGGGGTGGGGGCTGTTCACGGTCTCACAGACACAGCGGGCCAGACTATTGTTTAAAAATAATATGAACAAGATCCTAAGGACACTGCACATATATATTATATGAAGTTAAACAAGAAAAAAACAAGACAATATTTTAAATAAAGAAAACTTTTAAACAAAATTATGTTATTAGCATTTCAATTGGAAGTATGGGCCTGCATTTGGCTAAATAGTTGGTCAATATCCATTTCCAGATTCGTCACTGCTACCCAGGTAACGGTAGGGTGGAGAGGTGGGCCAGATTAAGGACCCCTGGTGGGCCAGCCAAAGGGCTTAGTTTGAGGAATCGTGATTTACATTATCATCAACTTGCTCTGGTTTGAGTGCTAAAGAATAGAAATTTTTGCATTTTCATCACCTTCATACATTACTGAAAAATAACAACTTCCATAGACCAGTAATTTTTTGGTCATTACTGTGACCTTTCGCAAGTCACATGGTAAACTCTGACCTCAGTGTTTACAACACATTTTATATATCAGACTGTCGATCTCAGGTAAGATATGAAAGATCGACATATGGGTCTGGCGGGGTATTGATTTTTAACTGCAGACCAATAAAGCAGGATCAGGGGCTCAAAGGTTTAGGAATGGAGTCTTGGAACGGATTAAGTTCATTACGCAAGGTTCCACTGTATTTTGATAGGATTGAAGACATGAAATGCCTTATATTCATTTACGATAACGCCTATTTAATGTCATAAGGTCTTCCGTTATTGAAAAAAATAGTGTGTAACCAATGTCAACTGTGAGTCTCACCTCATTGTTGACAGTATGTAAGGCTGTGCTAGTTGAATGCAGATGGCCCCACTGCCCAGCTGATGACACGTGTAGCCAGAGTCCCAGTCGTAACTTCTGGTGTTCCCATTGATGAGCGCATTTCGTGTTCTTGAAACTCCTTCAATAACAAGTGCACTGTTTTTTATTGTAGCAACATTCTCTGTTGGAACTGTAGATAAAAAATGATAGTTTAAGCCCAGGTTTTACATAGCAGAAGCAAAATTTGGATGAATCATTGTGAACATAATTACAAAAATCAACACACAACAGAACTAACTGACTAAAATGGAATTAGTCAAAAGATCAAGTTAGTAAGTGATATTTGATCCAGACTTACCAACCAAGCCTCTATCCAGGTGAAAAGGGCGACTAGAATAGTAACATTCAAATGAAACCAAATGAAAAACCCTGTTGACCGTGTTGTGCGTACCAACAACTTTGATAAACCTGCAATTACATTTGGACAGTTAACATAAGGTTCACCCCTTGTGCAGATGAATTTTACCATTCTGAAGTTGACCAGTGAAATTAGTTGGTTACGTGACAAGCTAATAAAAGTAAATAAAAATAGATGTAAGAATCTAATGTGTATTATTGCCACTTAATAATTTTTACAAATAGCTTACAGGTAAATATTCTCTACATCATGAAGATTTAATTAAGGTTTTAGTGAAAAACAATAAAAAGGTTGCATCAGTTGAACAATATGAGGAAATACAAAGAAATATAAACTTATAAAACAATACTATAAAAGAGGAAATATTTCACTATTTCATTCCTAGATGATATTACATTTGTGTAACAAATGTTTTGTTTTTTTAATTTGCCATCATGCCATTCCATGTGGTTCTAATGAATGTGTTAAATGTTACATGTAAGTTAATTTTGTCAGCCTTGTATTACTTCCATTTATATAATCCTATCACTGATTCCATGATATAAAGAATAAAAACTCCGTTGGTTTCACTATTTTTATACACGCACAATCAGTAATATCAATTTATAGCTATTTGATGACTATTTATTGTCTGTTAACAAGCAGGAATGCTGACAAAGTCACCACCGTCTTTTGAGAATTTTATCTGTCATCAGGAAAACGAAAGGGACACTTTACTTAAACTTAAAGAGAATTAATGCACACAAAATTTATTTGTTTTTTTTTGTGTTAACTTGGATCAACCTTATATAAGCAGATTTTTAAAGTTTATTTTGAAATTTGACACTAATAATAGTGTCCTGGGTCTGTTAAATAAATATAAGAAAGATTTAGTGGTGCATACAAACAATTTGTGTTAATTTCCACCTGCAATATTCATCTTGATAAGCATCATCTAACATTGTATTCAATGCTTTAACATGAAACAAACATTCAACAAACTTAAAATATGTTTTCTATAATCAAGACCATCAGGAATGACATACCTGTATACCTGTGGGATCAAAGGTGGTTATCAGAATATAAAAAAAAACAGAAATATCTTTGATGCAGAACAATTTCAAAGAAAAACCTACTTGACAACCCTTGAAGGAAAGTGAAGTTTTTGCCATGACCTGCACAGATAGCTTGTGTGGTCAATTACTCTATCATAGTCTTTGTCATCCATGGAGATTTCAACATAGTACGAATATGACCTAAAAGTTATAAAATTCATCTATTATGAACAATTCAAAAAAAAAATGGTTGATCATTCTAGTTATTTCAAATGCACTACAAAAAAATGTTTTTTAAAATTATTGGTCCAAGTCATTTTTACAACTGGTTTATCAGTTTTTCCCCCCTTTTTTATGTATAACAATACTCAAAAATACAACTTCTTAAAAGGTAAATTTGCATGGTATTTACACATATGTGTTGGTTTTTCATTTAAGTGAGTTCATAAGTACAAACTGACCAGCCTAGCTAACCTCAATGTGTATTACTGTTAAAATGTAAATAAACAAATTTGAAATTAATTATAGATGTTTCTTAAGCATCCAAGCTGCAGCATACCTCATATCTTTGTCCCATAGCAACAGTTTGATTGTGTTGATGATGTATGGCTGTCCCAACTTGATAACAATCCCATGCCCATTGTTGCCATCAATGGGATGCCTCGTAAATCCACGATCAAGATCATAATTTTGTGTGTCTCCATCTAGCAGTGCTGTTTTCATCTCACCACGGATGACGGTTGCACCTAGACGAATGGTGGCAACATTCTCTTCCATCACTGAAATGTTGGGATAGTATATGAAAATTTACTGTGTAAGAGCCTGTGATGTACAACAGAGACAGGCTAGATTTTCAAACCGATTTACAAACTGCTAATCAGTTTGAGGATAATTTTAGAAAATCCATTAGAGCTTTAAAGGGGAATAAATAATTATAACAAAGCACGTATAACATATACAATTTATGAAATTTCATGAATGCTTTAGAAATTTATATTGGCAGCCTTGATACATGTTATGTAAAAGATAACTATAACACTTTTTGAGTTTCGGTTGATCCCTGATGCCACCTAGATAAATTAGGCCAAACAAGTTAAAGGAATGCAACTAACCTTGAAAGCCTCTGTATTTCAGATCCATGTCCCTGCTCTCTGTTTGAATTTTTATTGCATCGAGGATGGAATCAGAGGAGACAAGACCAGTGTCTCGCACTACATTCAGGAGCTCATGCATTTCCATCAACTGCAGCCTGACAACCTCAAGGATTGGAGTGGGGTCTTGTCCCTTGTTGTGCTCTGCCCAGTTACAAACGGCACGAAAAATCTCAATCTCTGGAGCACAGAATGAATCTCTTGAGATGAGGTCCCGCATGGAAGCCTTGGAATATAACAAAATATAGCATGATGTGTTGAAGTAAGAAAACATAGATAGCAAAATTTGCTTTTCATACATTGAGTTAGTAGTGCCAAAATCAGCATGCCAGCTGGTGGAGGCAATCGAACAGTCATTACCTCTGTAATAAATTCAAACCTCACTAAATTTTAAAATCAATATTGTCATTGTTAGATGTATTTATACATTTTTGCAAGCTTAAAAGACATTCAATTAAGTGAAATTGTAATGAGTTTGATCACAGCCTTATTTATTTACTTTATATTGCTTATTTTCTTTTTAGCTTAACCTCTTGTTGAAGAGAGTGCTAGGGACTGTTGCTGAGGACAGTGCTAGGGACTGTTGCTGAGGGCAGTGCCAGGGACTGTAGCTGAGGGCAGTGCCAGGGTCTGTTGCTGAGGGCAGTGCTAGGGACTGTTGCTGAGGGCAGTGCTAGGGACTGTTCCTGAAGGCAGGGCTAGGGACTGTTGCTGAGGACAGTGCTAGGGACTGTTGCTGAGGGCAGTGCCAGGGACTGTAGCTGAGGGCAGTGCCAGGGTCTGTTGCTGAGGGCAGTGCTAGGGACTGTTGCTGAGGGCAGTGCTAGGGACTGTTCCTGAAGGCAGGGCTAGGGACTGTTGCTGAGGACAGTGCTAGAGACTGTTGCTGAGGGCAGTGCTAGGGACTGTTGCTGAGGGCAGTGCTAGGGACTGTTGCTGAAGGCAGTGCTAGGGACTGTTGCAGAGGGCAGTGCTAGGGACTGTTCCTGAAGGCAGGGCTAGGGACTGTTGCTGAAGGCAGTGCTAGGGACTGTTGCTGAAGGCAGGGCTAGGGACTGTTGCTGAAGGCAGTGCTTGGGACTGTTGCTGAGGGCAGGGCTGGGGACTGTTGCCTTGCTGAAGACAGTGGTTGGACTCTAGCTGGAGACAGTGCTAAATACTCTTGCAGAAGCCCGTGTCAAGGACTATGTAAAAAGCTATAGGATTTATTTATCCAAATTACCTGTGACAGAGACAGGAAACTCTCACTCCCAAGCACTTCCTGAGCATTTCTGTCCATATAATCTTTGCAGACATTACAGAGAGATGTCAAACTAAAATAAAATAAAAATTGCATCAGAGGAAAAATTCACAACTTAGTATTAATAGTATACATCCAGAAAATTAACATTATTGTCACTAAGGGAGTTCATTGATGGCTGATTTCTACACTAGGGTAATACTTTAGATGTCTCGTGTTTAAACTGTTATAATTGTAAAATGTTGTCTTGGTTAAAACATGTATTTATTTATGTGCTGAAAATGAATCTATACATTGTAATAAAAAAACATTTCAATTAATTTGGATCAATAAAAGAATCTTATCTTATTTAATCAAGTTTTAGAAAGTGCTCACAGAAGAAAAGTGTTATTGAAGAAGGTAATCAGTAAAACAAAGTAAGTCACAAGGAGGCCACAAGGAGGTCTTGTGCGCAGTCGCATCAACGCTGCCCCCTCCCACTTTGGGACCAAACAATGTGGATGCAGCCCTTGCAACACTTGCTCTTTTGTCGTCCAGACTGAATGCATATGTTTCCCTAATGGCAGTTATCAGATACGCGACGGTTTCCTTTGCACTAGCCACAATGTTGTCTAAGCCATTGTTTACACCCGCTGCCAGATGTCTTACATTGGGGAGACAGGATGCAGACTCTGTGACAGGTGTACTGAACACCTCTTTAATATTATGCAAGATAAACAGTGTCCTGTCTCCCAACACTTCAATAGAACCAACCACCAGGGCAAGACTCACTTTTCAATATGTGCGATAGTGGCTAGCACAAACACACCCAGCCGGGTGAATTTGGAACACAAGCTTATCCTGACCTATGGCAAATTGACACCACATGGTATGAACATCATGTCTCTATTAACAGCTTGAGCCTAGCTCCACCCCTCCACATCATGACCTAACGCAGTAGACTTACTTCTCCTCTTTTCTTTCCCTCCTTCCTATTTAAACTCTCAGCCACTTTCTGTGACAATTCATTTGCTGCCCTCTCGGATACTACTTCTCAGTATTCTCAGCTAAGTGCTATTTTAAAATTTTATTCTGTTTTTTCTGTTTGTTAGCTGACGAAGGCTTCCTGTCAACATGTTCGTTGTTTTGCTGCGTTTCTTTTTTCAGGTTTATCCATACTTTGTTTTACTAATTACCTATTGTGCTAACCTGATTGCAGTCTTTCCCCCTATTACCGTTATTAAAGAAGGTGCTTTAACTGACCAAACCTTAAATACTAGTAACAGCAATGCGTGAACTTCCCATCTACTGAAGTTACTTGACAAAACATGAACTCAAGTAATGCACATTTAAGAATCCCAATTTTTGCTACACCTCTTCCCCCCATGATACGTCACTGCACACTTTTTATTTGGGCCCCGTGATCTATATTAATATTCTGATGTCCAGACTACTTTTCAACCAAAAAAAAAGAGGAAATATTACGCACCAAACGCAGTTGCGTTATTTTAAAAAAAAATTATTTAGCATAGTTATCGTGAATTATATTTTTGTGTGCCATTGAAATCACTGTTCAACCATACTTTGTTCAAACATAGAGAATTATATGTAATACAAAACATGTTGAGTAGGGGGAGGGCTGGTTGGGAATAGGAAGCAGCCAGCAATAGAAGCAGTCACACCACAAGCAAAATATATATAAGAGATTGTTTTTAGCAAATTGTAGCACTTTTTTTGCAACATAACATATTTCTGGACAAGACAGCTCAATACACTGGACATCAGCATGCTATATTTGATTAGCTATAGTGAGGCCATTGTCACTAGCATGGGACAATGGCTTGTGTAGACATTTGGAATATCCAGAATTTGAACTACAGACTGTTCCCATAAGTGTCTTGTATCTCACTGTGCCTCACGGCCACCCTTTCATTCCTAGTCATTATAAATGGCAGCTATTTTTTTAACAATTGTAAGTGAATGCACTGATTAAGCACCTTCCCTTGGATTCCATTTAAGTTTTACTAACCTGTATATATTGGCCAGGTCATAAATGTGGCAGACATTTCTGATATTAAGAATAGCCTTGAGATAATCAGAGATGGCCGACTCTAGCTCAACAAAACCAAATCTGTGTGATAAGCTCAGGATATCCAAGAGATTTTCTTCCTATTTAACACATCAAGAAAATGAGGTGAAACTTTTTCTAGTGTGATAATATATTACAAAAGAAACAAAACTAATCTTGTGTATAAGCTATTCAATTAAAACAAAAAATGGTGAAAACTTATCAACAAGCTGACAAAAAGTAAGATAAAATTTTTTAAATAAAATTTCATAAAGCAAAATTTAAATTTTTGAGAAGGTTTTAAAAAATTTTTAAACTGTTCATGTCTTCACAAATATAGATTTACCTTAACTTATTTAAATAATACCTGAATCTCAATAAGGTTCATGCGACCTGTATAAATGTATTTAAGTAGAGAAGCAAATGCAGTGGCAGGTGTATCTTGAAGTTCAATCTCTGTGGTGCCTGGCTGTGACTCTTTCATTCCCCCATACAGAAGGGCCCTGTGAAGTTCAGGTGAGTGATTAGGTTTTCCTTGTCTTTTTCATTTGAAAAATTTGAACACCAGTACCAACAAAAAAAAATAATTAAAACGATTTGTTCTGTTAGTTCGTCTTAATTTAACAGTCTAACAATATAGCAAGCATGATTAATTTAACTTTTCAGAGGAAACACTTATAATTATAATGTTACACACCTGAAAAAATCTGATCGAGCTGCTAAGATTACTTTGTGACTGCGAAATTTTGCCCCATCAACAACAAGCGTAATATCAGCATAATCTTCTGTTTCAACAAGCTCTGCAAAGTTTTCCGACAGGCTGCTAACATGATCAACTATCCCTACTGGTGCTGGGGAACGCAAGTGATGATGGTCACACATCACTAACCCCGTGTGGAAATTTCAATACTAAAAGGAGAAGACATTAAATTAATATAAATATTATTGTCCAAAATATGTTTAAAATCAGTCATTTTGCTTGAATAGAAATAATCTAGAGTTCTGATAAGCATAAACACACTTGGTCCATACCCATTCTTATGCTAGCAATATATATGAATACATTACTATGGCAAAATGATGTTTGGTTAAGGTCAGTATAAAAACTAACCCCCACCCCAAAAATAATAAATTAAAAAATGCTCCTTTAATATTATTTTCTATAACTATTTTGCATTAAGATAATCAAGCTCAAATATTCATTCATTCATAACGGTAACACTAAAAGTTTATAATTATGGTCCTAAAAAATGTTTATCCATTTCCCAAAATAGACAAGATGATAATTTTTGTATTTTCTGACTCAAATGACTGACACAAATTAGTTTTGAAACATTTTCATATTTAAAATTTTAAAAGTAATTTTTATTTCTAAAATATCTGATAAATATGAAACTTATCTAAACAAAATAGTGCTGTACCACACCACCAAATCTTAACTTTGAATAATCTTTGGACGTGAAACACCCCCCACCACCAAATTTACTGTCCCATCAACACCCATCCCCTCTCTAATCTATAAATGAAACAAAATCTATAGGAACAAAGATATCCAATGTAAAGGTGTTTATATTAACGAATTCTCCACAGGCAATTTTAACACCAGGACGTCGAAGAAGAGAAAATCAACATTATTTTTACTTAATTACTCTTATTTGCAACATACATAAGGGCTGTGTAGAGCAAGTATATTTTATTAAAAAGTTCAGATGACAGTGAAGGGTCGAGGAGAAGGTAATTTGCTAAAATAATTATCAGCAGCTATAAGGCTGGTAGCAGGGCACTTTCTAATGAAAAGTATGCATTTGACATTTGGGACCACCGTTTGGAGGATTACCCATACCCTGTCCCCATACATGCAGGACCTTAGGCGGTCACCTTATTCGCCACCCCCTTCCACCAGCTAATACTAGATACTAATCTAGAAAGAACAGATTTTAAATTTGAATCAATTAGCTTGATTAATTTGTAAAATAAGTAGGCTAACCACAATAACTTTCAGTAGGAATTGAATTAATAATAATGACTAATCTAAATTTTAACATTACTTAATTATGCGGAAGAAATATACCCTTAGGCGGCCTTAGCCTTATAGGCCAAGGCGGCTAAGCCTGAGTTTAAGACTAGTCTAAACTGCTACTCTCCCTCTGTCCAAAATCACTAAATATGATAAGATTCTCCCATCTACCTCAATCTGTTATTATTAATTTAGGCTTTTTTTGTCAACTCATTCATTGTCATTCACTCCCATGGTCAACTCTCACACTTCTCAGGTCAGCCATCAATTAAAATTATCATGAACAAAAAATATTTATTTAATTAGAGGGCCTAGACTACACAATAACACATCATTCCTTTGCTTCATAAAAAGCAAAACATTGAACAGTATTTTTGTTATTTACAATTCAGTTGCGTAAAACGTTGTAGCAGCTCGTTTTATAGAAGATAAGCAGTATTTATCCTCGGTGGTCGTAGGTTTTAACTAAAGGCAACTATTTTGGTATATTGTTGGTAAACATAAAGACCAAAATAATTACAATACAACCGAAATAATTTAAACCGACAAAACATTTGCCAAATTATATCAATTAACTGGTATTGAGATATTTAGTACTTTAAAAAAACAACAACAAAAAAACCAACCTAAAATATATTTTCGAAATATAGGTTAGTTTGTTTAAGTTATATTAGTTGAGAGATATGTTAATCCATTGCTTCATCAATTAAAAAAGTGGTTTCTTGAGTCTTGAGGCCTACTTAGCCTACTTCATTCTCATTATGACATGAGAAAAAAACAACTTCATTTATCTTTACTTAAAATGATTGGATCGTAGGCTAGTCGTAGGGCTAAGTCAGTAAGTCAGTAAGGAGTAAGTGAAAGTGGTTTTCATAATTAAGTGAGTATAATAATAAATTTGAAAAATTAAATCGTATGATATACACCTACTTGATTAAATAACATTTAAATTGAACATTTTATTTGATGTCTTTTATTTGTTATAATGAAGTGCTACTTTTATCAAATAGTAATATTAATTAAATAAAATCTTGCAATCACTTCGTGATCACCTCGAAAAATCATCATAAGAAATCGGTATTTACCAAATAAGGGACACCATTTCTGTAGGCCTAGAGCGAAAACAAAGAGGTTGAAAACAGCTGATAGCGTTTAAGTTTGATTGTGTGAAGATTTCACTGCTTGGGCCCAGTGATTTCTATTTTAATTGTTTTAATTCCAAATCAAATCTTTTGTAAGTTTAATTGATTATGGTTACGTAATAATTTGGCTAATAAAAATAGCTAGCTTAAGTTAATGAGAAGGACTGAGTAATTACAGTTACATGATTACAAGTTTACTAATTACTACTTTACGATCATTGTGATTGTCAACACCGACTCACAGTCACACTGTCGTTACTAAAGTTACCGATTATTACTGATTACACATGCCACTAGTGGTAGCCATTTCTAAATTTTAGACTAAAGTAGTGATCATTATATTGAATAATTTCAATAATATCACAAGGCCGAGGCACAAGGCGATTCAACATTGGATTAAAAATCAGTACATCTATAATAAAGTTTCATTCATTGGTACATTGTATAAATTATAAATAAAAATATTAATATTATCATGACTATGACATTAGGTCTAAGCTAAACTCTAATCTCTAATAATTTTTCAATAATTCTTCAACTTTAAAGTTTGCTAGACTAGGAGTACTAGAGGGCCATCCATAAAAAAATGACAATGCCATGAAAGAGGCAGAGCTGTTTATAATTTATAGTTCTGTGTCTCTTAGTCTTAAAGGCCCCCTGTTACTTTTCAGCTTTGTGCCCCTTACAATCAAAGTTGATAGTTTGAATATTTTTCCACATCACAACTTTGGGCCCCTAAAATACAGAGCGCATCTGAAGCCTCACGCAATGGCTCCGACGATGTTATGCAATTTTCACATATTTTTTACACGCCCCATCTTCTATCATCAAAAATGGTCTTTAAAATTTTTTTTAGCCCCCCTCCAAATATAACATCACAAAACTATGCTCCCCAACCCAATAAAAATAAATTAAAAATTGTTTTGGTTCACCAAACAATTTAAAATCACTTTTAACAAAAAAATTTCATTGTGATTGTATATCATCCTATGAATTAAATGTTGCTCTGTAATGGGACCAGGGTTTCTTTCAGCTATATCTCCAGGGAAAGCCAAGTGCCCCCCCCCCCCAGCAAAAAATATGTCCAACAATGAATCAACTGGAACTGCTGCCCCCCCCCTCATGAATCTTTGTTTGTGTGTGTGTTAAATTTTGGATAAATGGGAAAGGGGGGGGGGGGGGGTGCTAAAAATTTGTTGAAATTCCATGACATAATTTATGGATGGCACAAATCTGATAACTGGTTCTATTTCAATTTTGTTAGCTTAATTATATTTGCTTCTCCAATGGCCCTTCCCCATCATCACAAAGGCCTTAAAAAGTTAGCCCACCCTCTTCCAAATATTATGTCACTAACCTCTGCCCCCATCCCTCTTTTACCCCATAAATCAATTACATTTTTTTTTTACCTCAAATATTTCAAAATTACTTTTTGTTGTTGTCATTATGATTGTAATATCATACTAAGTATTTATTTAATGTTTCTCAAAATAGTGTAACATCATTTGTGCCCCAATCTGATTTCAGTTTTGTAAAATATAATTATGTTAGCTGCTCCCATTGTCTTCTAATCCACAAAAATTTCCGTGACCTTATATTATCACAACTGTCAGTATCACTTCAACTTTTGTCTTCCTTGCCGTCCTAAAACATGATTGGGTTGTCAGTGCCCATTTTCCTCACATATGAGTCTACCAGTTATCCATAATTCTGATTTGCTCAGTAATAATGATCGTAGTTTAAAAATTAAAGCATTTAATCAAACATAACAAATTAAAATTAGTGCATAAATTATGGTAAAAATTAGACACCCCCCACCTTCACCCAGATGCATGACATCACTTATGGATGGCCCTTTGGTAATCAAATAAGCTATCTAATAAAGTTTCCTCAATCGTAAAAGTAGGAGTCAAGACTGACAGAAACTAGCTTTTTAAATTTTATTTCACTTTCAATTAAAATACTTTAAACCTAAAAAAGAGAGCTAATAATATTATTTTTCCCTTAAATTTATGATTAATTAAAGAACTTAAATACTATTACTAGTAACTAACTAGGCCTACCATTACAAACTTTAATAATCAAGCATTAACAATGATTAAATAGAGACTTAGTTCCTAATATTCATGTCACAAATACTAAATAACATCGGCTATATTTATAATTCAGCTACTACTATACTCGGTCTACACTGTAGAGCGCAGTTATATAACTACAAAACTGACTGAATTGAAATCGTTATTAATTTGCCATAAAGTGAAGTAAACTGATCAAAATTGGTACAAGAATGTCAAAGAATGGCAAAATCAGAAAAGCAAGTCATGCAGGGAGCTGGTATACGGATTCAGGTAGGGCCTATATTTTTGATTTTATGACTTAATTCGTTATTTAAGGTAATTGCATTGCCATCCCCCTAATTCAATAAATTACTAATTAATTATTCAAGTATATTGGGTATTAGTAGTATTATGCTCTATGATTTTTACACCCCTGTGTAGTCCTATAATTTAGTAGTTGCATATTGTATGCTGGAGGAACCTATAACTATAACTTAGTTTTGAATAGTATTGAAATTTAAAAAAAATTAAGTTTATTTAAATTTCTGTACTAACTTAATACTTTTAAAAATTAATTTCAGGTTCTGAACTAAATGCGCAATTGGAAAATTGGCTCTCAAAAGCACCAGAGTCACTGAAACCAGCTAAAGCCATAATTGCACCGTAAATATTTAACAGGATATTAAAGATGGTCAATCTATATCAACTCATTTATTTTTCAAAGTCCGTTGGAGTGTGGGTGGTTATGGTCAATTGTGTTCATTTCAACCAAATAACTGGATTTCTTGGTAATATCTAAGGGTGATGAAACTTCACAGGTGTCCCTGATTTTCTTCAAGTATTGAGTGCTATGGAAAACTAATTTGTTTTTGACATCTCTGCTTTTCACCGCTTCTTCAGCTTCATTTCAAGGCCCGTGATATTTTATTGATCCATTTGAAATGTCTCCTTCTAAGTCTTCTTCTGGGTAATAAGGGGAGAGACTGCAATCTGGTTAACACAATATAAAATGAGTAAAACAAAGTTAGTAGGGTTAAACCTGAAAAAAGGATTGCAACAAAACAACATATTATTTATATTGTGCTAACCTGATTGCAGCCTCTCCTCTTACCATTGTTTTGTTGCGTTCCTTTTTTCAGGTTTAACCCTACTTTGTTTTACTCATTTTATATTAAGTCTTCTTCTGTTGCCTTTTTGGCTTTTTATTCTTCTAGGGTAGCATCCAGTTCATGATAGATTTAACTACGTGCTAGGGTGGCAGTTGTAGGATTCGATGTGCACTGCAAAGGACATAACAACATACGAATAAAGCCATTTTAACTCCAGGAGAGGATCTTTTTATATCTGAAATTGAAATGATTCATGTTTTACATTAAGATTCTGTCTTTAGATTTTCTATTTGTTTCCAATCAAAATGGGCTGGCAGTTTCTCTTCTTTTAGCTTTTTTATTGAGCTGGACCAGATAATATTTTGGACATTTATGAAGCTAGTATTTAACTTAAAGTTTTCAAATACTGACAGTCAAATATCATACAAATTATCTAGATCTTCTAAATGTCCTTAATAAAAAAAGACTAACATAATCTTTTTTTTAAATATTATTTTTTTGTTAGATAGCACGGCAGTTCCATTTCTAAAATTTACTCAGCATCAGATCTAGATGTCCTAAGCATCTCATACACATCTTATTTTTCAGTCATGCTGGCTATTTCTTCTGTGGGGCTTGTGGTGCATTTGCATATAGGCAAGTTGATCCCAATACAGTGTAAGTCACTAATACATGAATATTTTAATTATTCTAGTCAAGTTGTATGGCACAATTTTTTTCTTTACTTTTAAAAATGTTTTATTTAGCAATGCTTCCTAGAATATTATACAGTTTAATTTATGTTTAATTTTATCTTGTACTTGTGATGTCAAAATGAAGACTAAAATGTTTCAAGTACTAAAACACTTGGATTAGTTTTTCTAATGAGAAGAAAAGCTTACCATAATGAAACCATAGTTTTTAATTTCTTTTTTATAATTCAAAACAAAATGACAGAAATGTTTAAATGCTATAGTGTTATTGAAAAATGAGACTTGTTCTACAGTATTATTAAAAAATGAGACTTGTTCGACAGTATTATTAAAGAATGAGACTTTTTAATGCCTTGTAAAAATTACCAACTTTGCTTCCACCAATGAAATTAAATAATAATGAGAATTAAGTTATTGTAGTCATACTATTTAATAATTGAAATAGGCTAATCCACACTTAATACTTTACTTTACCTGCCCCCCCCCCCCAACCACCCTTCATCAAAAAAAAAAAAAAAAAATTTTCAATAATAAAAAAAAAAAGCTTACACTCCTCTTATAAAGTCACACATTGCAAGGCTAGAGTTATATGCAAAGAGTAGGCTAGTGACTAGCCTTCTTCAGCAATAAATTAAGCAACAGATGTTTTAAATTTTAATTTCCTACCTATGTTTTTTAAATAGTTCTTATTTAAATTGGTCTAGTCCTTTTATTGAACATGACTGTCCAATATTTATTGCACACCTGACTTCAGGTACGCTTAATACTTTAATGATATGACTCATGACCTAAGTGACCTAAATGCATCTATCAGAACTAAAATCCTCTGTAAGTCAATACTTATCTGTATTGATACCGGGTAATGTAAAATTTCATTATTTTAAAAATATTAACTTTTTTGGTTGATGATATTCTTAAAAAATCTACATGGCAGTTTTATTGCTCAACAGCATTGCTTTTACTTATTGAGACTCATTTCAGAGAACCTTAATGAAGTTGTTGACAAAATGGTTGATACTTCTACAACAATAATAAACATACTTTAATCAAAGCTGTTTTATGTCCAGGAAACGTGTGTTTATTTTGGGGCCTTCCCACCATGTGCGAATGTCTAACTGTGCACTTTCTGGAACAGATATTTATGAAACTCCACTTTACAATTTAACTATCGATAAATCAGGTAATCATATATTGCTCAACTGTGGACTATTCTGTTACATTTTCACTTTTGTACTTAATAATATATGAACTGTTTCCTTGAGAAAATGAGGCCTTTTGTTAAAAGTGTAAGCAATTATCAAATAAGCTACCTAATAAAAATTTCCTCCTTGAATATTCTTTAACATTTAAAATAAAATAACTTGGAATTTGTTAAGCTATCATATATTAGAAAATTTATTTCAATTTGTCACATCTTTCTTTAGTTAATTCAGTGAAAGAAGAAAATTGTATTTAAATTTAAATCTTGAGTATAAATAAGGTATATTCTTTAATATTCTTTAACATTTAAAATAAAATAACTTGGAATTTGTTAAGCTATCATATATTAGAAAATTTATTTCAATTTGTCACATCTTTCTTTAGTTAATTCAGTGAAAGAAGAAAATTGTATTTAAATTTAAATCTTGAGTATAAATAAGGTATATTCTTTGCTGCATTTCAGTCTATGAAGAGCTGTATGCTACCTCTGCATTTGAAACTATGTCATTAAACACAGATGAAGCAGAGCATAGTATAGAAATGCATCTTCCATATATTGCCAAAGTTATGGAAAGGTTTGTTTAAAGCAATATTATCCTTTCCATTTCTTTAATATATCACTAAATGTTGACTGATATCATATATATAGTATATATATAAAAAAAAAAAATTCAGGCAGTTGAGTAGAGTTTGAGACACATTGGAGTTTTATCTCTCTAGAGATTGGTTTTACAATTCAAATCTCTTTTTTTATGTATTAAAATCCCCCACATTTAGAATGTGGGTTTTGGGTTAATTAAATTTGCCTGTACTGATGTATAATTTTTGAGACTGTGAAGTATATGTTTATTTTATTACAAAGAAAATCCAAATTTGTCAGCTAACACAAATGACATAAGATTTAAGCCTACATATATAAGACCAAAATAGTGCTGTCCAACCTTTTTGACTATGTGGGCAAAAAAATCTTTTTTTTTTTGCAAACCCCAGGGCCACTAATGACATCTCAAAAGAAAGTTGTTTTTTTTCCTTCTTTTTTTTACTTTGTAGAAAATTATTCATATTATTACTTCTTACATTGTGAATAAAGAGCCATTTATCCAAAGCATTATTGGCTCATCAAGAATATTAATAAAGCGAATTAAAAATGTGTCCCCTTTTAGTGATATAATTTGCTTGAATTGTACTTGTAATTTTCTTAATTTGAGGTGGTTACCAAGAAACACCTGCACTCATTAGATTTTCTAAATTATCACCAGCCTAATCATTAAATGTTTTAGAGTTGATGTAGGTCTTTACAGAGAAACCACCTCCACTATGTATGGGTGCTTCCAAAAACAGGTCAAAATTTTGTTTCAACGTTTCCATAGTTGTGGAAATTCATCAGAAGAAACATGATGTCATCCAGAATATATTGGGCCACACATTCTTATGTTTGCTTATAAAACAAAACATGTTCAAGAATCGTTCTCATTGTCTCTCACAATTCCTCCCTGACTGAATTGCACTAACTACAAACAACGACAACTTGTACCATGCTTTCTACTCATTGAATGTCTCATACTCCAATCTCTAAATACCAGGCACTTTTCCCCAACTTCACAATTCAGGATGGACACACACATGGACACACACTGTCCCATACCTGGCTACGTTACCTGTTTAAATAAATGGTTGACACTGCCTGCCATAGTCATTCAATTGTGACACCTCTAGAACCCTAACTCCCATTGTGATAACTCTGGCCCGCAAACTTTTCCGTCATATTATTATTATCCCTCAAAGCGCAGTAATTAAGTCGCAGTGCTCACCTATCTATATTTTCTAACTCTGTCCCATTGGTGAGGACATGGAAATTTTTACAATGACCAAATAGCTACACATCAACTTACTTTTGGTTTCCCTACTCATCTTTCTCAACACCTTCAGTAATTATACCCTACACCCCATGACGCATCCCCTGTACAAGTAACCAAAAGAAGGAGAAGACAGTATTCAATTTTAATTTTATGTCACCCAAATTCCCAAATGGTTGCTCTGCAGATGTGCATAAAATAAATCACTGCTTTCTGTCAAGCCATCCTACTCTCTTTAGCTTTTGAGACCTTCCTCTTTTCCTCGTTAAAACTTCTCCTGTGCTTTCACTTGATTTCCCAACAAAACGGAATCAATGAATGTGGTTTGAAAATATTTTCACCCTGAAATTTTTTATTTACATCACGAAAATGTCTCAAGCCTGGGTGGACATTTAAATTCAGCTCAAGAGTTGGTCAGCACTGGACTACAACATAAGATTTTCAGCATAAAATTATTTATTATGATTCGTGAGCAGCTGACACGTGCACACATATCAGTACATATTAAAACATAGAGCATTCGGAAGGCTATAAACTCTTTCCATACTTATCTACAAATGAAAAAGGAACATGGCAAACTTCGGTACTTGGGAATATACTTTTGCATTTGAGACCATATTGTTGGCCACTCAGCTGGAAGTGTTTTGTTTGTGCAGTGGTTTAATGGAAAGAGTTTGCCATACCAGTTGTTGAACTTTAATGATTTCTTAAGAGGCTTGTGATGCCAATCATTTTGCAGGGTAGGGAGTAGGGCTTGGCTGGCATCATGATTGAGACCCACTAGTTTCAATGAGCCATCATAATAAAAAAATCTCACTGTAAAGTTTAAAAGAAAAAAAGATAAAACACAAAGTTTTATATACATTTTTCAACTCTTCAGCGATCGGACATGAAAGTGAAAATATTCGGGTTCAAAAAGTTTCATTGCTGACCATTTTTCTGATGTTTCAGTCGCCGAGGTCAATTCACCATTGTGCCAATTCTTGTTGGATCTCTTTCACCTGACAAGGAAATGAAATATGGCCAGATTCTAAGCCATTATCTCAGAGAACCAGGAAATCTTTTTGTCATTTCTTCAGACTTTTGTCACTGGGGTAAAAATTTTAGTCAGAATTTATTTTATGTATAATTTAATGACAACAGTTCAATGTTTAACTGCCCATGTTTTTTTAAATATTGAAAATAAGTTGAAAACAGTAAAATTTGTGACTGCTGCGGCTTCAAAGCCCCCCAAAAATAAACCAAATATGACACCAGCCCTCACCACACCTGTGGGATATACATGCAGCCTCACTACCTTATGTAGTGGGCTTCTGAGGGATGTATATAACAATAGAAGCAAAAAATCAGAATTGACAATAGCTTAATCAAAATACTTTGCCAAACAGTTTTTTGCAAAATACATTACAAAAATTATGTAAATAAATAGGTGAAAATTCACAGCTTCTGTTAGCCAGAACGTAAATTTAAAAAAAAATTATTGAAAATGTGGTAAATGATTCTAGCTACAAATTATGTACCGTATTGTCTGACTCTAAAATTATCATAAAAGAACTTTTGAAATGAAATACTTGCAGGTAAACGTTTCAGCTACACATATTATGAAAAGTCTCATGGTAAAATCTGGCAATCCATTGAAGCTCTTGACAAAATGGTCAGTGTTTTTTTTTCTAGATTCATTTGTCTTAAACATATTAAATGTTTAAATAACTAAAATAATTGTTTTGTTCTTATACAGGAGGTTAAAATCATTAAAAATATTCCATTACATTGGTATACTTCAGCTAGTCTATATTATTATTTCTTTATTTTTCACAGGGCATGGATATTATTGAAAAAATGGATTCTCCAAGTTTCACAAAGTACCTTCAAACATTCCAAAATACTATATGCGGTCGCCATCCCATTGGTGTTCTGCTTAATGTAAGACAAATAAAAGTTTAAGTCTTGCAAAGATATCTTTATCCCAAATTTAAAAGTAAACTTTGCTAGTTAAAAAAAAATATAGGACTTAAAAATTTTTTTTTTTTCAAATTAGATCAATTTGTCTGTTGAGCCAGCTGTAGTATTTATTAGGGGTAAAGAAACTATTATTTATTTTATTTTCTATCTATTTACATGCTATATTTCAATTCCTAAATGGTTTGTAGGCAATGGAAAGTATCCGCAACACAGGCTCTGGCAATGGGCTGAAAATGGAGCTGAAGTTCCTCAAGTATGCCCAGTCCAGCCAGTGTGAGACTGCTAATGATTCTTCGGTCAGCTATGCTTCTGCGGCTCTAGTGTTGCAGTGATCTGAAAGTGTGATGATGTTCTCTAAACTAGAGAACTTATTTTATAGAATGCATGGAAGCATTTATGGCTATGTGTTTAATTATAGCATTTATACAAATGTTTTATAATCTATATTGGTTATATTTGATGTTCGAATTGATAAGAGACGTTGATGTTTGGAAATAACAGTGTTTGAATACCTCAGTTTTTTTTTTTCAATACTTGAAAATGTTAAGAAATAAAAATAATTCAGATCAGGAAGACCAAGATTGATGTCAGCAAAATTTGAAGAGTCAGTGTTATCAATTTTCTTTTTTCAAAGTACCGGTAATAATGATACAAAATTTTGATGGAGATTTTTTGAGTGTGTGTGTTTATAACATATTTTTAATGCCATTCTCCACGTCTTACATTTACAGTCAATAAATTATTTTAAGAAGATATATTACTGCCTAAGACTTTGATCGTCAAATGATGTGATGTCATATTAATACTTTCTTTCAGGTAAAAATTGTGTATACGAATTTTTTTTAGAAAGCATGTCATCATGTCACATTAAAAAGTTATTAACAATATGGATAGACTGGATTGATATCAATTTTATCCTTGAGTAGATAAAAAGAATTTAAAAAAAAAACATTTTTGTTTGTATTTTATATTTGAGGATTGGAAATAAATTACAATAAATATTAGGTTTCCTTTGTTTAAAAAGGGGAATAATTAACAGACTTAATTTTTAAAAATATATTTAAAAAATTAGCAATTGTTTCCGAATGTATTCCATATTGAGTGCATATAAATATAATTATTTAACAAATTTATTTCTAGTTAATATCATAGAAATTTTCATATTGTAGAACTTTTTTTGCAGTCAAAAGTTTGTGTACTTCTACTTCTAGATATGTACATTTCTACCATATTTAATTATGCATTATTATTTGCTGTTGTGGTTATATTATATGAGCTGACTTATGTTGTTTAGTTATAATGGGGAAATTTGAATAGTCTTTAAATAGTCAAGATTATTATAACCTGCCAATGACACAGAGAAAGATCATTTTGATCAAATCGCAATCTCAGACAACTTTGCCCTGACAATACTGAATATCCATTATCCTTTAAATGCTGGAAAATAAATATTAATGTAACTCAAAAGTTTTCTCCAATTGGTTTTAATCTAGTTTTTATATATTGTTTTCCTGTTGACCAAGTTTGATTTAGTTGAAGTGAAAAGTTATATGTCAAATACCAGGACAACTACAAAATGTGAATAGAAAGTTAAAAAAATATATAAAAAATGCACTTTTAGTTTAAGTACGCATGAACAATTTTAAAACTATTTTTTGCATGCATGAACAAATACTAGTGAAGCATAAAGATAAAAATCAAATATATGGACTAGATTATGTGGATAATAAATAGTTGTGTCAATATGACAGAGGTGAAGAATAATTGTAAACATATATGTTAAAACAAATGCCTGACAAAAGCAAAACCTATTTTTTTATTCTATTGAAATCTGTACCTTTTCTTTGATGTAAATGAATGAGTTTAAAATCATATATGATACTGTCTTTTAAACAAAGTGCTTTCATTATTATGCATTTAATTTAAATGTATTCAAATTAAATACAATTCAATTGGTTAATATGCACAGAAATTAAAAATCATTCAATTAATGTGCCTAGTCTTTAGAAAAACAACTTCTATTTCCTAAAGGATAATCTCTATTCAATTTTTGTGCCTCAATAATGGGGATATTTTAAAGTGAATTCAAATTTAATATTTATACTGCTGGTACTAGATGCATAGAGCTTTCTTTAGTTCATTAAAAAGTTCTATATTTATTTCCTAATGGTTGAGTTAAACAATTTGAACAGGCAATTTTGTATACATTGTATTTTAATTTAGTTGTTACTTTGTTAAATGTCAAGGGTAACTTCAAAATGAAAACAAAACAAGAACCCATATCACAATAAATGAGTTAACTAAATACAATTTTTAATGAAACTCATGAACAATAAGGCTGGAGAGTTGGCTGTACTGTAAATGTCTTTCTTCAGTAATTATTTTTTAGGCACTCCCTTATACTTAGCATTTGATTTTCCAAGTAACTCAAAATGCAGAAAAATAATTATTACATAGGTGTGAATCATGAAGGGGTTCTGAGATAAGCTCATCTCTTTAAAAAGTTTCTCAGTTTTTAAAAACAAAGATTTGAGCTGAACTTGAGTCTTCATCCATTTGTCCCTCAGCTCCCCTAATGACAAGCTTTACTAACTTACAACAGCATGAGATATCTACTAATGTCAAGAACCGAACAAATTGTTCAAATTTGATATCTTATGTGTCATTCCTCTTGAACTAGGAGTATTTACTCTTTACCTTACCATGTATATTTGTGTACCGTAAACCAAAATTGATTCTCATTAGTGTTTGCCATCTCCAAGCGTTCATCACCAAGGTAATGTCTTATGTGCTTATCTTAATTAGATCATTTTATTACTTCTATTTGATTTTATGCTATTCCTTACCTTTGATTTTAAATGATAACTTTCTGCATTTATTAGCTAATAAGTACTTACTACAACAGGGCCATTACTTTTCCTACAAAATTTCAAGACCAGTTATTTTATTTTTTTTTATAAAAACTGTTAACACAACCAAGACTATTTTTATATATTTTTAAACCATTTTTAAGGCAAAAGGTGCTCTTTGTAATAATAGTCTGTGTTTAAAAATAGAATGAAGACACATCCATTTGTGTTAATGAAGTGGGTCTGAAATGAAAGGAGGGAAGAGTGAGGGGATATATAAAATATGCCGGTTATCCCAAAATAAATTAGAAATTGCATTTTCACTGTTTGATACTTCTTAACCTTTTCTCCTATTATTTTTATATATAATAACATTGTTATTTCTTTTGTGTAGAGATTTAAAGAAATGTCACATGGTGAAATCAAAAGAAATATTATGGTGCTAGTCAAGCGTACATTTTAATTTCAATTTCAGTTGCTGAAATATTTGTTCTTGAAAAATTTTAAACCATTAATTATGGACGCTCATTATTTTTTTGTATGTCTTGGTAGCGTATTAAAAAGTCACTTTACTTTACAAATGTAGCACTTCTGATGTGGCATATCTTTTATATTTATTTTTCTTACTTTTTTTTATACAAGAATTAGGAGCACTGAAGGCATTTTTGAGGTATTACTTAAGTAATTTTTGCAAGGGTTTGTGAGAGGGGAAAACAAATCAGGAATAAAGATGTGATACATAGTCAGCTTATGAGTGTCTTATATCTCTTGTTCTCTTTTGTTTAAATTAAGGGCATTAGGTAATTAAGGAAATAGACAAATGTTTTTCAATGATTTGTTCATTTCAATTTATAATGTGAACTACAATCTTCTAATGTTGCCGAGACCCAAAGACCACAATAGTTATAAGAAAGTTATTTTATAATAAAGAGTGAAAACCTTAATTAAAGTTAAAGCCTTATGAGAAAAATGTGTTATTATTTAGTAGTTAGTACCGGTGCCGGTACTAAAACTTAAGTTTTTTTGCATTTGATGCCAAGTTGAAAAAGGGGGAAAATTTAATTTGTATGAGAGAAAGACTCTTATTTTCAATTCATATTGCTGGAAACCCATGTCATGGATTCGACATTTAAACAAAAATTAGGTTTCCAATGTGGCTCTAAATTATTCTAAAGAGGATGTACTTTCTTAATAAATGTTTTAGATTCAGATCTTCAGAAATACAAATCAAATATCTTACAATTGCCAGAAAATGTTTACTTAAATGACTTTCCATAAACTATACCATAAGTCAACAATATGTTTATCTGACTCGTATTCCAGCTAAGACATCCTGATGTAGTCAAGTGCCTCAGAATAAAGATATTTGTTAAATGAAAACAAAACAGAAAAGCATTTTGGGATAGCAAGGAATTAGTTGCTTTGTGTTAACATGCCTTATTTAATTTTTTAAATAAAGTATTTGTAACAATTGTATTATATATAATGCTTAATGTGAGACCAATCCTCGAATGGCAGTCTCTGTTACATTTCCCACACACGAATGCGGTGGAGCAGTATTTACCAGCCTTCCTCCTCGCTCTTTTTGCAACTGCTTCAGCCCTGTTTTGCTCCTCGGCATGTAGTGATCCTGCCTTCACGATGCCCCGCCATGAGGATCGATCCTCTGCCAGCTCCTCCCAGTTTGAGATGTGGATGTTGGCAGACTTCATGTCTCTTTTTCATATGTCTAAGTATCTCAGACGAGGCCGTCCAACTGATCTTTTCCCTGTCGCCAGCTCGCTGTATAGCAAGTCCTTTGGTATGTGACCAGGTTGCATTCGCTTGACGTGTCCAAGCCAGCGGAGGCGTCTTTGGATAAACATGGCTGGGACACTACCCATGTTTGTTTGGGACAGGATATCCATGTTGGGGACTTTGTCTTGCCATTTAAAGTCAAGGATGTGGCGCAGGCATCGAGGTGGAAGCCATTGAGCCTGCTTTCGTGGTTAGAGTATGTGGTGCATGACTCGCATCCATACAGGAGTGTGCTCAGTACGCAGGCCTGGTACACCTGCAGCTTAGTTCTTGTTGTGAGTTGGCGTTTGACCAGACTCTTTTCTTCAGTCTGGCCATAACAGTTGCGGCCTTCCCTATCCTTCCACATATCTCATCCTCCATTGAGAGGGTGCTCGATATGTTGGATCCTAGATATGTGAATCTGTCAACAGTATCCAAGTCGTAGTCGTGGATGGCAATAGTGGGTAGGGAGTCAGCGCCCTGTGCCATAATGTTAGTTTTCTTTAGGCTAATTTTCAGGCCAAACTCTTTGCAGGCAGCAGATAGGCTGGATACGAGGCTCTGCAGGCCGTCTGCTGTGTGAGATACCAAAGCAGCATCGTCCACAAACAAGAACTCCCGCAGCAAGACCTTTCTTGTTTTAGTCTTAGCTCTAAGGCGGGTATGTTGAATAATTAGCCGTCATCTCTAGTGTGAATGTATATCCCCTCGCTGTTGTTCTTAAAGGCATACTGGAGTAGGATGGAGAAAAAGATTGCAAATAAAGTAGGAGCCAGCACGCAACCTTGCTTTACTCCACTACTCACTAGAAAAGCTTCTGAGGTGGCACCATTATAGCACACTGTGCCCTGCATGTTTTGTGGAACTGCTTGATGATGTTAAGCAGTCGTGTAGGGCAGCCTATCTTTTGAGGATCTGAAACAGGCCGCTTCTGCTGACAAGATCAAAAGCCTTAGTGAGGTCGACAAACGCAATGTATAAAGGCATATGTTGCTCCCTGCACTTCTCCTGCAGCTGGCGCAGAGAGAAGATCATGTCTATGTTTGACCTACTATGGTTGAGAATATACTTCCATAAATTGGTTATAGACATTTAATGTTAATTCCTAAAGAGCTCATTTTGAAATTTCTTTTGAGCACATGGTCTTCATAAATGTTTTGTGGGAGGTGACAGGGACAGATACATGTATGTGTTTAATGTTATTAAATGTGTGAGGTTTTATTAATTTATTAGCAGATATGACCAGAAGTTACTCGGGTAATAATGGAAGGCATATTTTGCTTTTTCAGCCTACTATTGTGAAGCATCAACATCTAAAAACCCAATTTTCACGTATTGGGTAACTGAATTGAGTTTTGATGTAATGTATCCTCAAAATAAAAGTAAGACTTTTCCATGCTCTTGAAATGTTTATTTAGGAAATAGAGTTAAAAAAAAATTAACTTATTTTTAAAGAAGTATCTTTATAGATATGTACCGGTACGTTTCTAATATCAGTCGGTTTTGAGGAATTTGTATCTTCCATAGTCCTACTTAACCCTTTTTACTGCCCATGAACTACAAAGAAAACGTATTTTCAAAAAAAATGTACGTCCTTATATTTTTAAAAATTATCAGTTTGACTATTTGTAACATTAAGGGCTTTGATATTTTGATATCTTCATTAAAAAATTACTCATTTTTTTGCCTGGCTCCTGAAATATATGTTTGGAAAATTGTAAGACAAAGAATTCTTATATCTGAAGAATGATATCTGAACTGATGTTCACATTATTTAAAGAATACAGTTATTTATTCAAATATCATATACCGGTAACAATTGTTCAAATCTGTCACATAATCCGGCTTGGAGATATTGATGTTAAAAAATGTAACATTAACGCCACCAATTTTCCTTGCCTTTGATTACTTTGAATTCAAATGTAAAAAACGGAATATGGTAAAATACACAGTTCACAATTTTATTTGAAAATTATCTGAAAACCGATATTCAAGTCTATAATGGTTGTGTGTTTTCAAATATTACTTACTATAAAGGAACAACACTAAAGAAAGAACATAATAACTCTTCAATATGTACCTCCACTCAAATTTCCCTTGCCCTTGAAATTTTACAATATAAAAGGATATAATACATTGTTCCCAATTTTATTTTAAATCATCAAACTTCGAGTTTTGATGCATGGATCTACTTATGTAAATGTGTTACCAATGTGTCAACGCCATTGAACTTTATTTCTGACAGTGGTTGACAAAAATCTGAAACCTCTTTTTCACGAGTGTAATATCAATGTACTTAAATATATTGTCGTCATCCACATAAAAATGTATTTACCAAAGAAGGTTGAATAATTTAAATTATTCCCCCACCCATTATGAGGAATATCTTGTGCTGCCAGGGGCACCCGCCCATTATGAAGCGAATCTTGCAAGATAAACAAAAATCACAGTCCACTCCCCAACACATATAAATTTTCTTATAAACAGATATAAAAGCATATGCGGCGTGTTAACCTTCTAATGTATGCCACTGCACACTTTCAGGCATCCTGAATTATATCAATATTCTTATGTCTTAAAATGTTAAGTTCCTGTTTTTTCTTTTATAAATTTAAAAATGCAAATTTTTTGAGTAAAAAATTAGGTAAACTTATTAATTATTAAAGATACAGTTAACGATACAGAGCTTAACTTTGGTGTGATAACTTAAAATAATTTTTAACAATGTAAAAAAGCAAGCAATTATAATGATTTAAAAAGAGGGGAAAAAACAGTTTTGTCATTTTTGGGTTTCCCAATTGTTACCAATTAACTGAAGTGCCTACTAAAGCTCTATAAAGAAAATAAAAAAAAGCATTTGTACAATGTAATTTCAGGTGTAGTTATAACAGAATGCCCTTTAAACAAAATACACACACACACACGGAGGTAAATACTTAACACCACTATAATTCTAAATTAAATTTGTGTTCAAATTAATAACAGTACCCGATATACATATGTATATTGGTTTATAGATAATATCATATATTATATGACCAAGAGTAAAGAATACCTTAACTCTCACATTAAGATTATATAGTTTAATTATTATTATGCTATATTAATTTATTCCAATTTATAATAATACTTTGTTAATAAAGATTAGATATGAGCATATTTATTTAATCAGTCATCAGATTTAAATTGATTCAATTTCTATTAAAATACAGAAATAAATACACTAATTCTTTTTAAAAATCCCATTTAGAAAAAGAAATTTAATGTTAGTGCCTAATAAACAAATTTTTGTTTGCCGTCTACAATTAGGGAATTTTATTTTTTGTGCTACTGAACTGAGCAAAAGGTCTCTACATTTGCTCATTGTTATATATACCATCTTTTGATTAAAATATTAATTTACAGCTTTCTAACATTTGATAAAACAACTTCTATTTGAGTTTATCTTCAGTAATTACGATCATAACTTTTATAACGCAAATTAAGGGAATAAGTTATACTTCATTATACACATGGATGTGTAACACTCATATAGAAATCTACATTTTAAAAAAATCTATAAAATGCACAGATCCAACCACAGACACAAATTATTGGAATGAAGTCTTCAATAAAAGTACTTTCATTTATTGTAAATACTGGAGTGCAAATATTAATGTATTACTATTGGCACTTTTAACAGAAAATTCACTTCCTTGCAGTTAGGTAAAGAAACAACAAATCCAAACAATTTTATAATGTTTCAATTGTGTGAGACACTAATTTTGCACACCAATTTTCAGTTCTTCACTTTCAAACAGAAAAAAAGCAGAACAAATCAATTCCCACAATCTTTTGTCTTATCATTAACTAGGCATCCGAATAAACGATATGCCCAATGCAGAGATTTGAGCTATTGAGCACCTATTTATATTGTGATCATTGCTATCTTTGCCTCTATCAACTTTGATTACAAAAGTATTGCAAAATATGGGGGAATGTCCCACAGGGTGGCTATTTGAAGGTTATGGAAGGAAATTTAGATAAGGAAGGCCATTTTCTTTTTTATGAAGGGAACGTGTAAACTGACATTTTTTTAAAAGTTAACCAGTTATTATTTGTCATTTATTGCAAAACAAATATATTTAAATTTTTTTAAATTTTGCTTTACAACATTGAAATTTCAGGCTAAACAAGCCCAGAAATTGTAATTCCATTTTTGTGATGGCAGGATTGGAGACTTCTTTTTTTTTTAGCTTTTCCCCTAAAAAAATTCAATAAATCTTTTTGGTGCTTAGGTGGGGCAAAAAAAGATTGGGAAACACTGGGTTTTTTAGGCATGTCTAAATGTAAGTGATAAAGAAATTACATCTTTAAAAGATGACATTGTATTTTTCATTAATTGACAAAAAAAGAAAATAACCGGAAAGAAAATTTTTTTTTTTTAAATTTAAGCATTTAGCCAGATGTCATGCTGCCTTAATGTAATCTTAGAACTCTATTGATTGGGACCTAAAGCTATATTTATCAAAACTGAAGGAAACACCTACAAGTTAGACATCAGATGAGGATTAGCTTAAAAGATGGTAATGAATTTGTAATTCTGTTACACTATCTAGTCTTATATAGAACTACACTCAAACATTTGATAATAATTTCAGTTTTTCTAATAAGCTTGCTTCATCAATCTCACAGTTTGGGATGTACACTGCCTATCCAATAAGCATTGCAAAATTTTGCTCCGGAATTATATCAATTAAAACAAAAGTTCTTTTTCAATTCTTTTTAACTCTAGCTGACAATCATCCTTTCAAATCAAGCAATTATTTTACTAATTTTATCAAAAGCATAACTGGTCCATCAATTTGATGGAAAATAATGCACAAATTGAAAGCGATTTGATGAAGATGAAAAAGCTCTCTGAAGGGATGTCAAAACTGAATAACTTCCACACCATAGTCATGAAACATATAACAACAGATCACAATTTCTTTATCACCGCAACCAAAGCTTGAGTCGCAAAGCATCAACACCATTAAGGTAATATCTGAAAAGACGTTTGTCTCTGACAAATCCAAGGTTTTCATACAAATGAAGGGCAGCCTGGTTAGTTATTTCAGTTTCCAACACAACCTATGAATTGAGAACAAAAAAAAAAGCAGAGAAACATCAGGATACAAATTTTAAAAAATATAAAACTGAATTGTTCTGTTTATTAAACATCACTTAACTTTCATCAATAAAACTAGTATGCAAAACTAGTACCAGCAATTAAAAGATTTTTAAAAATTATAGCTGAACGAAATTTAAACAGATATTTTGCAGAAACTAAATGGGCAAAACATTATTTAGAACTAATATTATTCAATTACCAGTATCATTTTTTTTCTTCTAGGAATCTCCTGAACCATTTTATTTTTGTTTCTATTTTTAATCTTTTGTATATCTTAACCTAATGCACATAAATGATTAAATAAAGAGTCAGGCATGCTACAAAATATTTTTTTTAAAATCAAAATATTTTTTTAAAATCGAGATGCAACCAATTTCTCAATAAAATTTTTGACATTAATCATTAATCAAGCCTTCAAAAAACTTGGAAAGACCTGTCAGTACACAATCATTTCAACTATTAGGATCAAAACAAAAATATTTTTAAAAACCTCTGCTTCCTTACAAGCCTTCAGCATATTTTTAGGCTTAAAACTGTTCCAATAAAATATACAATAGTAATTTTTTGCTTTAAAATCAATCTGCTAGGAGTGACCAACTATTTTTAATTAATTTACCTATTTTGTTTATGTTCCATAATCAAAATATAGTCCATCAGCATTATTTAAATAAATACACAAGTTTTACTTTATTGACATGGCTAACAGAGAAAAAAAACAATGGCTGACCTCATCACAATCATCCCTGATCATTGCCTCAATAGCTTTAGTCACAAGAGATGAACCTAAAAAGAACAAACAGTTATATAATATGTTTTTGCTGAAGTTAGAAACAAATGGTCTTAATTATTAATTTCTTCAGTCTTGATCAACAAGTGATGACAATGGCCTTATAGTTGTTATAGTTTTAATAAGTGTGTTGTTACCAAACGTTTAGAGTGTACAGGAATTTATTCAACTGGCATTCATTCATTTTAATGAACTGTGGTCTGATATAAAATGCAGTTTAAAATTATTGTTATTTTGTCTTGGTAAAAATATGAACCAGACATATTTATTTGCTTTTAGTTAAGAGGTCATTCTTATATCTTACACTTTATTTCCTTTTTTAAACATTTATTTTTTTCGAAGTGTGTATGTATGGATGGAGTATCTTATTACCTTGCAATTGAAATTGCAAACAAAGAAATGAAAGAATATTTGTAAAAAGTCTTGGGATAGAAAAATTTGGCTGCTTAATTGTGGAAGGTGGGGATGGTTTGGTGGGTATGAACAAATATTTTTTGCAAACATTACAGGTGGATGACCCTTTTTAAATACTTTACAAAGGGTGGAAACATAATTTTATATTCAAGGAAGAAGGGTAACAAATTTCAGATGCACTATTCCTTCCATAAAGAAATAATTATTGTATGGAATAATGGCTTCTAAAAAAAAAAAAAAAACTCACCAATTTGTCTACGTCTGTATTCAGAGTCCACAGCCAACATAGCAATATAGCCTCGCCTTACCATTTTTTTGTGCAAGTCCAGCTTGCATACTATTGCTCCAACACACACATTATCAGCCATTGCCTATATTTTAAAAAAATAGAAAATGTTTAATACCTATTGTAATAAGAAAAACTAAATAATTAGCAAAGATGCACATCACAAGCCTGGAAAAATTCTTAGCAATGAAAATTCATTACCGGTACAATTTAATTTCCAGTAAATGCACTGAAACCATAAGGATTGAAAATACAGGGACTATGACTTTCTAATAAAGTTTTTGGAAAAGAAATCTGCATAAACATCTCTTTTCCCAATTTCCATCTTTAATCCACTGAAAGACTACTTGAGCACAAATCACCTAAGCCTAAATGTCATTTGATTTATCTTTCTATTCTACGAATGGAATGTTAATTCCATCCTTATAACTTTTTTTTTCTTATAATGTATTCACTAACTCCAGAATCATAAATGATGGAAATAAGCAACCATTTTCACCCACAATTTTTTCCCTTGAATTTGTATGAAATTTTTCCAAAACTTGCACATTAGGCAGATTTAACTCGAAAAATTCATTGTTAAAAAATATGAGTCAAATAGGTCTAAGCCTTGTGTTACAGTAATCAGTCTTGGCATACAAGCAAGGTTGCAACCATCTGTTAATTTATACGTAATATATACACAGAAATACTGGAGTAGGGTGGAATGGTGCAGCACTGAAGTGACAAATTTAATTTTTTTCGTGAGGCATGGCACTACCTTTTTTTTTACATAGAATGGATTCTAGGAAAATTTTATTTTATTTAAATACTTAAATATTGCAGAAAGATTTTAATGTTCACTCTTTAACTTTGCTTTAGCAAAGCTAGAACTAGAAGAAATTTCTTTTACTTAAATTGTCTGAACACTTTTTTTTTTCATTCTCCTGTCCAATTGAAGTACTCACGGTAGTAAAATTGATTTCAGTATGGTAGTATAATAGAAATTCAAATAAAAAAATATGAACATGACAGAATAAAATTATCACATTCATCACATGGTTTAAGATGGTAATACATTTCTCAATATACAAATTAGATGAATTTCCTGAGCTTTTTAAAGTTTGTATGTCATTTGATGTATTTATTAACTTTACTTTAATTATTAATTAGGCTAAAATATTTATTTTAAAAAAAACAATCCAATAGGCTAGTCATAAGCAATTTAAAAAAATACTTAAACTTAAAGTGATAAAATAGGGCTACTCAAAACTGAGACATTATCATTATGACATTATTTTATCAATGAAATAATGTATCTTTTATTCAGATAATTAACTTATAAATAGACCTAGGTCTAAGTAAACCTAGTAATTATAGACATAATCATAATGACAAAATTTTCTTATCAGCCTATAGATGAGACCATGTTGATCAATTATAATTAAAACCACTTTTACTTCTGGGATTTTATAATCACACGGCACCCCACTGGTTCCATTTATTTATGCAACAAAATATGGATAAGCCTAAATAAAACAAGTTCTTTAGTTTTAGACTTTAATGCTTTGATGTAATATTAGTAGTAGCCTACTATAGGCCTAGTATCTTTTTAAATACTTACCAAGAAACAGAGCTTTGGCCAGTTGTGGATAAAATACCTGTATGTGTAAATGGAATAAGGTTCTGACAGGTCTTTTGTAATTAGTCTCATGATGTCAGGCATTTGCTTTTCTGACTCATAAACCTCGTACACAATGCCATTAATTACTTCTTTGAAACTCCCACAATTCACATTAGAATTACTAAGAGTTGTCCTCTCTATTTCAGTTAACAAAACATCAACTTCTTCACTATACAATCCTTTTTTACAATGATGTTGTGATGACTCTAACGGTTGTTTAGCAATATGTGAGTCAGCTAATGGGATGGCAACACAGTCAGTTGGATGTATGCATTGCAAGACATTATCAGCTTTTTTGATGGAATCACATTCACTGCTGTCACCTTGAGTTTCCAATACAGGCATCACAGCTTCCTCACCACAAACACTCTTTAAATTAATCATAAAACCATTATCACCAGAGTTATGATCATTATGGGAAAGACCATTGAATTTGTGAAAATATTTAGGATTTCCATCAGAGTCAATAACTAAAGGATCAATTTTAAATGAATCAACACATTTTATGGAAGTTGATGTCAGCATTTGACTTTTGATACTGCAGCAATTAAGATCATCTGCAATGGTGTTTTCATCAGCATGGTCAAGTGCCCCATTTTCCATACACTGGTTGCTGCATTTATCTTCTGTCACTCCATGCAATAAAATTTCTGACTCTGTTTGATGAAATACACCATTCTCATCTAAGTTAGTATGCATCTGGACATTTCCTTGAACTTTGTTGGAAAAGGAATTCATTGGTGTACTTGTAACTTCAGTTGTCAGTGAATATGAGACTGGTGTTTGATCAGACATAGTTATCAAGTTATACAATCCCCGAATTGACGTGATCAGTAATGATTAAATAAGATGCAATAGATTTTGAACGTGTAATTACTAAGTAATTAGGCTTTTGCCACTTCAATAATTTTGTATGTAGCCTAATAAATTTTTATCATAAAATTAAAATTTCAACTCATCATGATATTCTTTTTAACTTCCTTAGCCAAAGGACAACAATTAATAAGCAATGTAACATTAAATAATTGAGCTAATCAAGTATTGGTTGAAAAATATTTATAATGCTTCATTTGTGATTTTGTCGTAATGCACAAGTAGAGTGTAAATGTGCAAAGGTGAGTGATGGTATTATGGTTGTTTATTTGCGTAATGTCCTGACCGTAATGTCTATAAGAGTTCTCCACCAATGCGCATGTGGTGTTGAATATTCCGGTTCCTTCTGCTAATTTAAAAAGTCAAACTCGGTAGCTTTGAACGAAGTGGCTATTCGCACCCTCGTATCGTAAGTGAGAGGTTGGGATTAAAAAACTATTTAAAATATTATTGTTGAGTTTGTAAGACAAAATGAGGTATCGAATGAAAGATAATTGAATGGAATTTATGTTTGTAAACTTACTTCTTCAGTTTAACTATAATAAACTACCACAAATGAAATCCAAATGGGATTTAATCTAAAATCTAAAGTAAAGGGAACCGGGTACGCATAGCCGCTATTCGGACACGGATTCCTTTAGAACAGGGGTCTCCAAACTATGGTCCGCGGGCCGCATGTCAGGATACTCGCGGGCCGCATGCGGCCCCGCGAGTATCCTGACAAGATCAGACGCCGCTTATGTAGGCGTTATGTTTTTACCGAATTAAAATAGAGGCGCGCAGTAGTGCGTTATGTTTTCTAACTGATCATTACTTTGCAAAATCTTATTCGATGCTTAGTTTTTCTACTTCCATTCCCAGTCAATGAAATGAAATGTAGTGGCGGGGCTTTGCCCGCCGTGTTGCAGACATGGGTGAAACCATTGTGACTCAAATATCGAAAAATGCAAGCAAGTTTCGCCAATTTTTATTTGCAATTGATGAATCGCTGGACAGCTGTTCCACCTCTCAACTGATTGTGTTCGTTAGGAGTGTTGTTGAAGACATGAACATAAAACAAGATCTATACACCTCTTAAAGGCCTTTAGATCCAAGCTCGTCTTGTTTTGGGAGCAAGTACAGGCCAACAACTTTACGCTCTTTTAGCAGTGGACGGTCCTCATGGCTGAAGCAACAGCGGAGTTCCCCACGTTATTTGCAGGCGAGATCATCAAAGACCCCGAGCTGCATTTTCAGCAGCGGTTTTCTGACTTGGATTTAAAGGCAGAAGAAGTGAGACTTTTTCAAAACCCATTAGAAACAGATGTGGCCAGTTGCCCTGAAGGACTGCAGCTGGGGGTCATTAACTGAATGAAATAATATTATATTATGATTAAAAACAACATCCATGTTTTGATTCTTTTTTTATTTGGACCTCAAGTGCAGTGATTATTTCAGAAATTTTCCGGAGGGGGGGGGGTCAGATTTTCGGGGGGGGGGG